GCAGTGCCAGTGCCCCAGCGGGTCCATGACCCAGGGGTAGGTGGTTTGTTTGATTTCTTCATGGGTGTTTGCAGAAAGAAGTCCAAAGAGCACTCGGTCAAACAAACGTGGTCGAGCGCACAGCAGATCGCATAAAGATTGCGCGATGCCGCACTCACGCATGGCGTTGCAGCTCGTCAAGTTTCACCGATTCCCAACCACATCCATCATACCACTCTTTTTTCCCCCGTACACTTGTGTTGACACATGTCCTTGTGTGGGCGACGCGTTCTGTGAAATACCGAGAACCGATAGGCACTCAAAGGAACGACGTCCCTTACTCGTTTAACTCGAACAAAGCAGGCTCGGCCGAGCTGAGGTTGGGCACGGTGCCGAGTGGGCCGCGAGCCCGGCAGCGTGCGATGCCAGGCCTTGGTGGAGATGGGGCTGCAGGTGCCGAAGGCTTCTTGGCCTTCGATGCCTTCGGAGTCGCCGGCGGAGTTGCTTTCCATTGATCCAATGTTGAGAGTTGGGGCTGGTGATATGGAGAAGTCGCAGGGTCCCTCTCAACGCCTTGCAGAAACGGGAGCGACCATATTAATTGGACATGTGAGAAGGCTGTTGTTGCGTTCGGTCCGCGCCTGCAGGCGCTTTGGTGCGAGAAACAATCGGTTCCCTACAAAACAATTCCAAAAACCTGTAATTTAGTACCTTCTTGGGTGGCAGCATGTTTACAGCCCCATATTTGACAGCGCTAACACATCCTGTTGACTGGTCACGTTTGGCTTGTGTTGCCTCAAGCCTGAATTTCACAGGGTAGCAAAATGCTTCATTCGGTTTCCTTGGGTGTCTGTTTTCAGAACCATTTTGGCCCAACAAATTCGGACAGGTTCCAGGTTTGACATCCATCCTGCAGTTCTTCGTGAAGTCCTATGCCAACAAGTCTGCCGCCCGCCTTCCGTGAACTGGGACGGGAAAAGCAAGGAGTGGGCACCAGCGGATCCCACCCCCTTCTCTACCGCTGGGTTGGATCTTTAGGCTTTAACTTTTTGGAGTCCAGCAACATATTTCCTTTTAACCAGCAAAAAGTTAAACTTTTTGCTGGGGGGGAGTTAGCCAAGAGCGGGCACCGGTGGATCTGACCCCCTTCCCTTTTTGGTTTTGTCGGTGTTCGACTAACCATAGTCAACCCCAAAAAGTGTTTTTTTGCTTTGTTTAGGGCAACTGGGAAAGGGATTGGGGCGCAAGTGCTGTAGGAATCTGGGGCGAAGTGGGGTTGGAGTTTATTCGGCACGAGATGACACGTCAAACTGAGGCAGGTTGAGAAGTTGAGGACCTTGAGATGGCTGTGCTTTGGACTGAGGCCCACGACTGCGCTGTGAGCCTGTCGAAGGAGGCAGCGTATGTGGCGTAGTGACTCGGCGGAGCCTTGCGGCGATTGGAAAGCCCAGCGGATGGCGATGTCCAATTCACCCGGTTCTTGCCAGCAAACAGGTTCGCTAGCAGCACCTGGGGGAATAGATGCGAAGTAAATAATCATAAGACAAGTCACAAAAAAGGTAATACGCAATCATGACACGTAAACTTAATGTGATTGCTCTTGAAGATACCTGCAGCATGCGAAAGCTTCACCATCCACCTACTTTCATTTGCAAGTTTTCCCATTCTCGCGTTGGGCCGCTCAAGCAAATCAGTCGTTCCTTGTAAGCCCAATCTCGCCCAGTCTCTTGTTCATGGCCCGCGTTGCCATTCGCGTCGCTCCAGCCGCCCTGAGGGTCTCAGCGGAGTCGACCACGCCCTTCTTGGTGTTAGGTGGTTGTTAGGCTTCAAGCTTCCAACAAGCCCCAGAGCAACGACATTGACACGAGCACTAAACATTTTGGGAAAACTTTGCCGGGCACAGGTGATTGGCAACGCATCGTGGTTATGTGGTGTGGCCAAGTGTGCGCAAATTGAACATGGACCCCGTTGCAACAAGACACAAAGGGACCCAAATATGAGTTGCACGACCATTTGGAGAGGTGGCCTCAAGCTGCTGAAATCTCTGGTCGAGTACATGACATCAACCCCCTCATGTGCCACATTTTTGCCTGCCGCGAACAGTATTTGACATTGACAAATGTGCCTTTGAATTGATGGGCAAGAATCAAAAGGCGCCTGCTCAATGCGGGGCCCAAAGTCGAGACTGGCCTTGAAAAGCAGCAGCAGCCCTGGATTTCCTTCTATGCTCAAATACGCAATACTACGCATGTAGAAACCAAATCAACGGCCACAAAAGCATGTTGAGCAGACAGCAACTTTGCATGCCAAACGACCAACAGGCAGGCCGTGCAGTTTCAATACTGAGGCTTGACCTGGCTGGCTTGCCAGTTCCCCTTGGCTTGTGAGTGCCCCGCCAGCATGCCGGGGGCTCTGACCAGAAGGGGCCAGCTTACATAACATCACTTAGCCCACAAATGGCGATGAGGAGTTTGGGAAGATGGCTCTTGACATGATTTGGATGCACGAAGCTCTGCACAGGAATCCTACTTAGCCTCAGTAGAACTTGAACAAAGTGCGGAACTGCAACATCCAAGCATGTTGGAGAAAATTCGCCATCGGCTGCTTTTGCCGATGGAGTGACTTTCTGTCGCAATCTGGTGTTCCCAACCAGATATCCCGATCCTCTCGCAACAGTTCTTTGGGCAATGTTTCAAGCGACTGTAAGAGCTTGTCCTCAGTGTGGAAGAGCTGAGTTGCACGTTTGCAGACCGCAATGTTCAAAGTAGATGCTTCGGCGTGGCGGCAAGCCTGCTCGAACATGGCCTTATAGATTTGCTATGTCAAGGCCGCATCCATGGTCAAAGCACAAAAATGACTCTAGTTCCACAACGAGGCCTCACAGAATAGAAGTTAGTGCCACAGCGCATCGTGTTTCGCCGCAGGGCAAGGCCTTGCCATCAAATCCGCAAAGGCTGCACCACCAGTTCAATACATTTCCATGTTTCACGTTTGAAGTATTTGGCTTGAACTTATTTCATTGAACTCAGGACGCATGTCAGAGCTCATTTGTGAGTATGTTAGCGCCATGATGATATCAGTCATGGGGTTGCTGACTGTGGACACCGAAGCGAAGGTGGGAGAGAAATCAAACCTACATGGCGGAGACTAAGGAGGTACCCACCTGGTACATATTGAAGACTGAGCTTCACGATGCCAATTACACGCTGATTGGGTTCGCAGCGGCAAGCCAGCCACAGGCAGTGAAGGTGTTGAGGCGGTCTCAGAATCTCTGCAGATTTTCAGTCTTTTCCTGTTTAGTCGCCCGCTAGGTCACCAGGTGCGCCCAGTCACCATCCACGCGTGTTTGTGCTTGGTGCTTGAGCGCCTGGCAGTCTGGAGGATTTCGGAGGGTGACTCAGCATTCGTTCTACCTGCGCCTTGCGCCACTTGAGAAGCTAAGAGAGTGACGAGTTGAAGGCAGGTGATTATTGCCAGAATGAACTGCGACTGGCTCTGGTTGCGGCTTACCAACGTTGCGTTTTGTTGGCACAGAGTTGCTTTGCGTTTGACTACGTAGACTTGCCGTTTCCTCATTGTTGGTCTTGTGTTTGGCATCAGATTGCAGATTGCAGTCAATCAGTTTGGACCGCATTGAGTTCTAAGCCTTGCATATACACACGCATAGATTTATGCACATTTCGTCAAACTTGTTGGGCTCCGGACGAATAAGCTTTCTCTCTGGTGCTTGGAAGCACACGTGCCATGCAGGCCAGGACATCCTAAATCTGCCGCGCCTTGATGGGGCGGCGGGATGTTCGCGGTTCCCGGAGCAATAGCTTCTACGTTGATTGCTGGGTGGGCCACATTGAAGTGAGGATGGTGAGCGACAAGGGGTATCCATTTGGCCGAGACAAGTCTGCAGTCGCAACTCTTTGCCCCCCCTCCCCCTGTTCGCTTTCTGGCTTTCTGTAATGCTGGACTGACACATCCAGCACTCCACACCCAGGCACCTGGGTGGGAATACCCAACGCGGGACAGCAATTTTTGAATTGGGGAGCGGCTGGCGCCTGCCAGTGGCGAGTTTTGAATCAAGTAGCGGGAGTTTTGAGAAAGCAGAAGTAGACCAAAGAGCTTGTAGAGCCAGGTAGCTGAGAAGTTATGCGTGTCATCGTGACAACACCTGGTTTCATTTGGTATATAGGAACGGCGATCACACCGTCAGCAGAACGTTTAGGCTACCATTGCCTTGATTCCTTTTGAGAAGTTGACCATTGGACATAGCAAATACATGTTGGCGGCAAGATTGTGGTAGTGTCCTCTTTGCATATGTGTATCTGGTCTGCACACATAGATAGATATACATAATGCAACAACATATTGTATATGTTCATGTGTATATATATATATTATGTACATGTGTTCAGATGTACATTCGCACATACCCATGTGTTCGGGCTATAGCAGAATTATCGTCCCTTTCATTCACTTCGCTGGTGAGATCTAGGAGCCCAGGAATGCTTAACGTACTGTGCTGGTCACAATGGCACAACCAAACTCACGCATGAAGCTTGAGCCAAATGAATCCGCAAACAGCTAGCGACCACCTTTGCTTTGAGCATGTTGCCCTCTGGGCCAGTTCTAGCTCTTCAGTCACAGAGTCGCGGACTCGAGGACTTGCCACACAGGAGGTCGCGAACCAATCAGATATTTCAATAGCGCTGCAAAAGACTGTTTAAATGTTGGTGCTGTTCCTGGAGGCAGAATTGAACTTCTGGCTGGACCCAGAAGCCAGCTCTTCTGCGTTGCAAAGCATGGCTGAACCGAGGAGACGGTTTTGGTTTCTTGGACGCTCGGAATGGCTGCCAATGGAACAGAGCGAGACCCCCGTCATAGTTTGGCAAAAGGTGAGCCATGTGGAAGAAGTGGCGGCTGGGTGTGTAAGGCCTGGTGCAATCTGGAGGGAGCGGTGTGCTAGCCTGATGGCCGAAGATGTGCGAGGGATGCCCGAAAGGAATGTAGACGCTGTTCATGAATACATCTACTTTCATGCAAATTCATCCCCGTGAGTTGCACATGCAGGCGCAAACGAACATCCGACTTCAGACACGTTGAGATCACGCTTGCTTGCATGAAATGTGGAGTTCTTTGTGGAATCGTTGTTCTATCTTCGGGTCACAGCGAGATGTGGAGGGCTAAGCCCACGCTGCCGACGACGGTATTTGCCCTTCCTGACCCGAGCTCCACTAGGCTGCAGGGGTTCAGAGTAAGCTTTACACGCATTTAGATGGAGGAGGTTTAGAGGAACCACGAATCTTGTCAGGTAGGTGACCGCCAAAACGGGGTGCAAACATTCAACACATTCCAGCATCCCAATAGTACTGGAAGGTGCAGTGCTAGGTCTGCCCAACTTTGCAAGGCGTTTCAAGCTCTTATGGATCCGGCTCCCTGAGGTTTCCATTTGACATGCGGTGTGTCGCGATTCACTATGACATCATCGTAGCATATCTTGAGAATTGAGCTGTGCACCTTGGTTTCTCTTTCAATCGATCATAGGTCTGCAGACTGTCACTCAGAGGTCGGCCGGTTTGCACAGACGGCAGACGGCAGCTTTGGAGCGGTTCTTGGTTCCGAGGTGCTGGATTCAAGGTGGGGACTGGCAATGAATTGCATGCTCTGTGCTCGTTGCGCCCAGAATCCACAGGTAAACTGGACTGCTGAAGGCAATGCGTGTCCTTGCTTGCTGCAATGTGTTCCAATCATGCCCTTTGAAGGGTTGGGCTGTTGCACATGTTGCCAAGGAACACTTCGCGGCATAGTTTGAGGCATGCAATGGGGTAGAAAGCGAGCCGAATTGAAGCATGCATATGAATGTATATGATGCGACCCACGTGTTCAGGATAGTCGCCGCCTTGCTGTGTTAGCGTTCAATCTTGAGCTGACTTGGGTTGGGGGCAACATTTAATCAGTGGGGTGCAGGCGGGTGCAGGACATAAACTGAAAGCAATTGTTAATGCGACGTTTGCTTCGCATCCAGGCGACCAGATCGCCCATCTGAACACAATGTGGTGAACCCCCTGAGGCCCCTGAGAAGTGCGCGTAGTAAGTAATCATTACTGTTTCTTGTTCTAGTTGCAGATGGAGCCATCTACTGCCTGGACAGCATTTCTTTGGTTCGTGGCAAGGACCTGCAGATCCTGTGAGATTCATTTGCCCATGACGAATTGACCAAAGATGTGATCATTCCTTCAGTCATTGGGACCGCGATGAATCCAGATTTCCTCAAACTAGGACTTGGAGCTTCTGTTTCTGTTTCAGCCAGAGCCTTTGCACCTTTTGTGCCAGTTAGGTTCAATCCATCGCCCTTCTTCGGCCAAAGAAGTGTGTTGCCATCTGGTTTTCACTTCCAAATCTTACACTCAGAAGCCGCCCACACATTAGCGCAGTCAGAGGCCCCAAAAAACAACACAGGCTCAAATGGCGGGACACATTCCAGCTGCATCGTAGGCCTGAAGTGAAACTGTCGGATCTGCAGCCAGGCCAGATGATGCGAGGGCGGAGTGCATTCGCAGCTTGTTTGCAAGTTTTGTTGTTGGCGTCATGAGTGGGTTAAAATCTGCCTGTAGTGATACAAGTTGGATGAACATTTGTTGGGTTGCTGCGTGTCAGCAACATAGAATACCGGATATGTTGTGAATGGAGGCTCGCATGGCACCAAGCGGTTTTTCGAACATCTCTTGCAACCGATTAAGTGAATTTTTGCCGTGCACCAGGTGTCCATCTGCCACTGAAGCTATGCCAGGGGCAGTCGGAGTTCCATCAAAGCCACCCAAAAGACCTGGGAAAGGGGCGCTTGCCACTCCCAGCCAGTGCCCATCCACCACAGCCGAATCAAGTTTCAATCGGCCAAAGCTTGTGATAAGGGTTTGTAGTTGTCATATGTCCGTGAAAGAGAAATCAAACATCGAACCCATGTCTCAATCCGGGAAAGCAACGCGCAAGCGATTGCCTCATGAAAACCTCTTGCGAGAGAAACCTCTCATGCCGCGGAAGTAAGCTTGAAGGGGTTTGATGCTATGGATGAACGAACTCCTGCACCACTTTGAAACCGTGGGGGAGACCATTGTTTGTTGGTACTTACAGTGGAATGATCGTTCCAGGGTTTCTTAGGTGGTGCAGGATTTTGTCCATCCAGAGTACAACTTCTCTTCGGCCGCAATTGGGTTTAAAACAGCTCAAAAGGGCATTGCAAAGCTTGCCGCTTCATAGCAAGTATGTTGTTTTGACTTGTGATGATGCACGTGCTACAGATGCGTGTTGAAGCCGATCTATAGGTCAGTGTTCAAGAGCTGGGCCATTTTAGCCAGTTCCTGTCCCAGAATGCAATCGCACCGGATGACATTCTGAAATAGTTTCCAGTTGTCCAGCAGCACACATGTTGGATTTTGGGTTTGGGGTGGATGGCTGGGTGTTTTTTCAAACTTGACCGACCAAGAATAATTTGTCCATGCGCGCAAACATAACCTCATGTGGCTTATGTGT